GTTATGACTTGGGCCTTGATGGTAGAAGAGATAGATTCTTTCCATGTTTAATTCCAAATTCTGCAAGCAGATGTGCGAGTTCCATCTTCGTTTATTAATGTTGCCAGCGGAATAATCGAGGAGGTGTGATATTTCTTCAGACTTTTCCTTCCTTGCGCTGTTTTCGATAGTTCCAATTGCCTGTACTTCTGAAAATCTTCTTAGCTTTTCTGCAACTGTCATTGACCACCAGTCGCTCGAAATGTCATTTATGTGGATCCAACCTTGCTCTCTTCCTCTTCAGCGGATACTTGAGGCTTTCGAAATGCGTTTCAATTCCTTGTTTGAGGCATTAAGGCGTTACCACAGGCTTCCTCTGAAAAGCAGGTTGTACTCCTTCGTTGGGTCTTCCTCGATGGGCCACATACAAATAGTCAAGAGCTCCTTGCATGACTCCGTCATACCCTTCTCTCTCTCCTCCAATACAATGAAGATCGCCTTTCCAACTTTCACTAACTTTTGCTCGAGAAAAGTGATCCGAAATACTGCTAAAGGATGGTACCACTGAAACGTCAACTAAGCACTACCTTCAATTGATGATGTGGTCGAATCGCATGGTACCATTGGGTGACTCTCATGTACACCGCCAATATTCTTTCTTCTTGACGATGGAGTTGCTATGAAATGCGGCGGAAAAGAGCCCAAGGATGGTTGTAATTTTCATTCCCAGGTCCTGGTCCAAATCTCCAGCGACCCTATGCTCCTACTTCGGGAATTCTGATTTTCGCGTCTCAGAAGCCGACAAATTTGGAGAAGATTTTTCTTCGCGCATGACTTCCTCAGAACTCATTAAAAGCATCCCATTGGCTCCTAATGTTGGGGAATAACAGCTGATGATAGGTAAGTTCTGATACAGATGACGGAGTCGAAAGATAGCTACGACGTGATAGGATTTCGAATCGACAAGATGGGCTTAAATGGGTGTACGAAGCCAACGCCTTCGGCATTCCATGATAGAACTTCCTCACCACGAATTATGAGTGTGCCATCACTCTACCCCAAGTCCACATTCGACTTTGCTTCCTGCAAGGCAGACGCGCCCTACAGCTTTGAGAAGACTGTGAAGGTCAGCGTTGGTGGAGACTGTCCTGCCGTTGTAACGCAAAGCATGAGACAA